AAAAAAAAATACACATTTGGAAATCTTGTTTGCAAAAAATGGTTAATACTATTATTAATCACTATTTTGATTATGCAATTTTGCAGGTTTCTAGCCATTTTGAATAAAAAAAAATATTAGTGCAAATATTTATTTACCAATCAAATTTCTTTGGATTATTAATACATGTGAATTTTTTTCAAGATTATTAATAAACAATAAAATAAATTTTTGATTCTTTTCTTTTTTCAAGAAACAAAATTTTTTTATTTACAATTAATAAAAAAAAATTTTTTTCCATTCGCTTTCTTTAAAGGATTATCCATAATTAACACAAAAAATAAATTCGCTCACCTTCCAAAGAATCAATTTTTATTACAGTTATGAATTCTTCTGAAGATGATGTTTCTACATCTACATTTATTACCAGAAAATCCAGTTCAGGAAGACCCGAGATGCAAGTATGGAACCATTTTAATAAAACTGTTTCTAGTAGTAGGGGACATTATGCAGCTACCTGTAATTATTGTGAAAAAATTTGGGCATGTGGTAAACCAGATGAACTTCAAAATCATCTCGCAAGTGAATGTGACAAGTGTCCAGGAACCATCTGTGATGAATTCATTGAAATTGTTTCAAATCAGACATTAAAAGAAAAAAAAAAAATAAAAAAAATAATCAATCTCATATTGGTGATTATATGGAAAGTACAAAATTGAATGATAACAAATGAAACAGTATCAATCAAGCTCTGGGACGATTTTTTACAACTTGTTCTATTCCATTTGCTGTTGTTGAACACCCATTTTTCATTGAATTCTGTAAGCAACTTAAACCAACCTATGACCCACCCAGTCGTACATCAATTTCAAATACCATTTTAAATTCAGAAAATGCTCGAATTACAATAAAAATCCATGAAGAACTTCAAAAAGAAGAAAATATTACAATTGGTAAATATTTTTGGCTACTCAAAATATTTTTTGTTAATGAATGATCAATTAATTATCCTTATTTTTAGCCATTGATGGTTGGAGTGATCCCAATAATAGAAATTTATACAATTTTGTACTCATGACTTCAGATAGAAGAGAATACCTTTGGAAAATAGAGGATTTTTCTTCTTTTAGTATCACTGGGGATTTTCTGGCAGCTGAAATTGA